GTGTGAATGATTTTTAAGTGTGAGAACGATACTTATGATCGTGTAATAGTGAGTTGACAACCTATTAAGAATAAGACATAGAAATAATTATTATTTGACTTTCTTAGTTCAAATCTTAATTCAAAAATCTTATCCTTTTTTAAAGAATTCAAATGCCTTAAAACTCAGAGATTTTGATGCCTATAATTATTTTGCTAATAATGATGGTAGAGAACACGGTGGCGTTTCCATTTTCCTTAATAGAAATATTCCGCAGAGTAAGTCACCCTCAATTCGTCTTTTCAGGCAGTAGCAGTGAGGGTGACTCTACATATTCCTATCACACTCTGTTCTGTATACATGTATTTACCACCCATCTTGATGACCTTGTTGCACCCCCCCCCCCCGTTTGTAATTACGGGAGATTTCAATGGTCATCATTCACTTTGGAGTAGTCACGATGATAATAACAGAGGTAAACAAATAGAGGACTTCATTAACATTAATAATTGTGTTTATTAAATGATGACTCGCCTACTTATCTGAATCCAGCCACAGCTACAGCTTCTTTTTCTTCCCTCGATCTCACCATTTGTTCCCCGGTCCTGTTTCGGGATTTTACATGGAGAGTAAATGAAGATCTTTGTGGTAGTGACCACTTTCCTATTTTGATTAATAATAACGGTACGCCTCCGGTCGAAATACCTCAGAGGTTGTATTTGCATAAGGCTGACTGGAATCTGTTTGAATATTTGTGTCCCTTCTATTTTGATGCAAAAGAGTTAGAAGATGCAGATGAGCCCATGGCCTTATTCACCTCAATTCTTCAAGGCTGATTGGGCTATGTTTGAATCTTTGTGTCTCTTCTCTTTTGATACCAAAGAGTTAGAAGATGCAGATGGGCAAATGGCTTTATTCACTTCAATTCTTCAAGATGTAGCTGAGCAGGCGATTCTAAACACCACGACTGAACCAAAACGTTTCAATAAACCATGGTATATTGCAAATCAGCTCTTAAAGGGCGCGATCGTATCAGGAGACGATTAAAGAACCATCCTTCCATGGAGAATATTGCGGCATACTAAATGGTCCGGGTGAAGGCTCGTAGAACCATACGTCAAGCAAAGAAATCTTCCTGGCTAGGTTATGTCTCCAGGATCAATTCCCGTACCTCATCCAAGTCGATATGGGATAGGATTAAAGGTAAAAGTAGGGATTTATCAGTTAACCATCTCAATGGTGATAATACCACCTTAACAACATTTCCTGGTATTGCTAATTCTCTGGCCACTACATTTTTATTTAATTCATCATCCAATTTCTCCTCTAATGCCTTTGTAGGCATTACTGCAGGAGAAAAGGCGGCTTGATTTCGGGGCATTAAACATCAACAGGAGAAAGGGTGACTGAATTTCAAGTCCCTCAATGATGAATGCTAGAATGATACTTTTTCCATCGCGGAGCTTCGGGATTCGCTAAAGTGAGCTCGGGATACTGCAACTGGTCCAGATGAAATATACTACCAAATTCTAAAAGATTTACCCTTTTCCACTCTCTTAATTTTATTGGACCCCTTTAACCGGATTTGGGATGATGGGAATTTTCCCCCCTTCGTGGCATGGAGCCACAATAATTCCCATCCCTACACCGGGTAAAGATGATACGAATCCTACCAACTATCGTCCGATCGCTTTAACTAGCTGTATTTTCAAAACCATGGTGAAATTCATCAATCGAAGGCTTGTTTGGTACATCGAGCCCAAGAACCTCATTACTGACCTCCAATGTGGATTTCGGTCCCAAACGAGCATTCTTGATCATTTCGTTCGATTTGAAACGTTCGTCAGGGACGCTTTCATCCAGAAGCAACATTTAATTGCAATATTTTTTTATCTGGAGAAAGCATATGATGCCACGTGGAAAAATGGTATCATGCGCAACCTCCATAACCCCGGCCTACGAAGTCGTTTACCAATCTTCATTAAAAGTTTTCCTGGAAGATAGGTCATTTACGGTACGATTGAGATCTATATTCTCTGACCCATTTCCTCGGGAAATGGGGGTTGCACAGGGAAGTATTTTATCTCAAACTCTTTTTGCGAAGAAAATTAATACTATCCCAGCGAGCCTTAAGCCAGGTACAAACGGCGCTGTTTATGTTGATGACTTTCAGATGTGCTATAGTTCTACAGACATGCGAATAATCGAACGTAGGTTGCGGCTTTGTTTGAATTCACTTCAACAATGTGCAACCGAAAATGGATTTCATTTTTCGAAATCCAAGACTGTCTGCATGCATTTTTGTCAGAAACGAGGTTTACATCTAGATCCAGAACTTTTCTTGGATGGCAACTGCGTTCCAGTTGTGGATAAAACCAAATTTCTGGGGCTGATATTTGACAAGAAATTATCATTTATCCCCCACATTAAGAACCTAAAGAAGAAATGTCTGAAAGCCCTCATCAAATACTTACTGGGGATCGGACCGTAAAGTCGTACGCCGATTATATCGAGCATTAATTCGACCAAGACTCGATTATGGGTGTATTGTGTATGGGTCTGCCGCGACTTATATCTCAAATAGCTCGACACCATACACAACCAGGGACTTAGAATCAGTTTAGGAGCATTTCGTACATCCCCAGTGGACAGTTTATACGTCGAGGCACATGACCTCTCACTGCACAACAAACGTGATAAGCTGGCCCTGCAGTATGGTACGAAAATATCATCTTTACCAAACCATATTACATTTAATACCATATTTAGACTATTCAAGTCTAAAGTTATCCACCATTTGGTATTCGCATACAACCCCTTTTGTCTGAGGCTGGTATCAGCCTTGACAGTATTATGAATACCCATTTCTTTAGGATTCCACCGTGGTCTATATCTCCTCAAAGGATCGATTTCGATCTTACGCAACATAAAAAGAGAGATACTAGCTCCACGGTGTTTCAGTCTCTCTTTCGAGAGCTAAGGTCTAAATATGGTGTTTATGCTCCAATATATACAGATGGTTCGAAAGATGATGATCGGGTAGCTTAGGCTACCGCGACACCATCTGAGAGCATTTCTGTAAGCCTCCCACCTGGTGCTTCTATTTTTACAGCTGGGCTCGACGCTATTCTGCAGGCATTGGAGTTCACCCAGTCCTCGTTAGATTTAGAATACATCATCTTTTCTGATTCTTTGCCCTCAGTGAAAGCAATTAATAACAAACAGCTTGGACACCCATTGGTAGCTGATGTCTATCGTCTGCTACTATCTTACGGGTTAAACAGCAAAGACCTCGTCTTTTGCTGGGTCCCCAGTCACGTTTATATAAGGGGGGGGGGGGGCGATAAAGCAGATTTTGCTGTCAAAGCTGATATAGATCTCCCCCATCAACGTTTTTAATTCCATATCAAGATTTTAAGTCATCAATAAATCATCTCATTTATGGCCGCTGGCAACGGTCACGTGATCTTGCAGGCACAAATAAACACCACGCCTCTCGCATTGGTCATTCTTTTTTAACACATTTTGTCATCTTAAAGAGAGTCTCAACCAGAATGTGAACACTGTCAAGTACGTTTGACGGTGAAGCACATTTTGACTGAGTGCAAGTATCTTGGAAATATTAAATCTAAATATACTCTTCAAAAAAAGTAGGGGGTATTCAGAAACAATACGAAACTGCGGAAATGCACTACTGTTTTTATTAGAGGTAACCAGTGTATGTTAATAACAAGTCAATGGCCTACACATGAACATAACGGCCCCATTTTACTCGCAAAGAGATACACTGTCAAAAGTGAAAATGGACGTTTTTAATTTTTGTCTTAATAATGAGTAATTGCTACACCAATCCCCAGACATTCAGCAATTCGTCGTGGCATGCTCCTAATCAACCGTCCAATCACAATGTGGGTCAATCTGACCCACTCCTCTTGCAGTGCCACGGCCAATTCTTGCAGTGTTGTCGGTTGACGTTGATGTCGACGAACACGTCTCCCGATCAAATTAAACGTAACACACTAAAGCAAAGATACGCTAAACAGTAAATCTAATGCAAGAACCGATAGGAAAGCAAACATGGATAGATAAACCAACACGCGGCAGTTTTCACCAAACCTTCCTTGAGGTGTCAAATTTGACAATGAACCACTCCCACGTGTATGGCGCTATTGCGTGTCGCATGTGCAGCTCAGTGGTTCTGTTGGGGCGATAAATTCTTTATCTGTGAACATACTCTCAAAGCATGTCAAATGTCCATGGCTATTTATCATATCGCAACCTGCATAGTTATTTGCATTTCAATATCCTCTACTTTTTTTGAAGAGTATATTACCGTTGTCAGACATTACATCATTTATTTGCTCAACCGGAGCTATATTGCAAAATCCTAAACTTTTTAAAAGAGACAAAATTTTATTATAAATTTTGCGTACATGTAACCCGTTTTCTTTTATTTTGATTATTTATATTCATGAAGTATTTGATATTTATTTTTAATTTTATATATTATCTGTGATATTTGTTTTTATTTATGGAATAAATATTTATGGACATAAGTATGTTTGGCGCAATATAGCTCGGTTGGAGCTGACGTGCTATAAAACCTCATTTCATTCATTCATACTTACGACAGGGTGAGAGTCGTGTAGACTTAATTTAGTGAAACGCTATTTTTTTGTAAGTTTACGTTACGATAAAGTTACACAGATTTTTCAGGGTAAGTTGCTTTGTGAAACTGCCCCTGGATCGTTTTTATTACCCCATGTCCATATACACCTCACAAAATCATCCAATGGTACGCCGTTCTTTCCCTTTACCGTAACTGTCCAGCTTTATCGATGTATAATACTACTAGCATACCTTCAGGTTTGGGTTCGGGAAACCGCAAATGCATTATAGAAGGCAACTTGCGATCAAAATCCCTTAGAGTCATCGACCAATTTGATTATAGAATCTGTGCAATATTATAATTTCACTAATAAATTTAAAATGTATCAAATATTCTACGAGACAACTATTACCTTGATTTGCTTATTTCTATATACAAGATGTGGATATTGCTTGGGTGGACTCACGTCTAAATGAGGTTTTGTATCATCCAACTGAAATAATAATAATTCAAAATACAATAAAGGCCAAGGAATTGGAGGTGGGCCCGTCAGGAATGAAGACAGACCTGGTACGATTCAGTCAGGATAAGGATAGAAAAGTTGATCAAGGAACCATTCGAGCGTGGCCAATTCATCCTCGGGGTGGAATACAGACCCAACGCCCTGCCATTGGACTAGAGATGGGGAGGAGACCCAATCGGCACCTCTAAGTCACACACTGCCCAGGTTCTATACCTAGTCCTTCAACCTGGTGATGGGATTTGTGGTCGAGTCCAGGTAACCCCAACAAGGCCAGCAACACCAGTTCCAGCAGTCACAGCCACGAAAAATTCAACAACCACAACCATTTATTAACCAGTCCGAAATGGGATTACGAAGGCAATAGAGATAAACCGGAAGAAGTATGCACCAAATGAGAACAATATTGCAGGCCACGGAAAAAATGAAGTGATTGAATCGCACAGATTTGGAGTGATTACCTGTTAAATGATGGTCATTTTAATAGTTTATTGACTGATTAGACAATTTTATTGTAACTTTGTCGACCAGAAGAGCAGAATATTAGAGACAATCGTAGTAATTGTGTTTGTTAAATTACAAGAAGTGCTACCCGCAGAATATAATCTAAAGAAGGCTGTTAAACATTGTCGAGCTTTCAAATAAACACTTCATGGATTTGAAATGGAGTGAGGTTTAACGTCCTACTTTTTTGGACAAACCGTGATAGTGGATACCAACTGTCGGGGTTCTTTTACGGCTTTCTATTCATGTCATTATCCTGGTTGGTGCAGGAAAATAGGGCGTTAAACCACATTTTCATTAATCCCCCCCCCCGGGGTGTAGGGGGTGATAAGGATATACCTTCCGTATGTCCTGTGTGTCGTAAAAGGCGACTAAAAGGATCCCTGTAATGGGACAACGTGTTTGCCGTGCGTTGCGACCCGTGTCGGTGGAGAGTGGAATCCTGCGGGCCTTTTCTCTGCAACATTACTTTGGCCCATGGTTCACCTAGACGGGAGGTCGAGTGGCCCACTCTGATCAATCGGCTTTGGTCCTGTTAGTTGACGAGAAGATGATAGTTTTCCCCCTTAGTGTGTTATTAGTTTATAGTGCAGTTAAGCCTATGTGTCTTGTAGCATTTTTTCTGAAACAGCGACTTGGGCAATCGGATAAAGCACAAGATCTCCTCTTTTCTTTGTCTGAGTATATCACTGGCTGTTCTCGTTGGGCGTAAGCGCTTGATGTCCGCGCAGTACCCTGTACGGATGTTTCAATCCTTGGTGATTGGAGACCAGTCAGTGATGAATCTTAAAAGCTAATAAATGGCTTCACAAACTAAAAAAACTTTCTCAGCCGAAACGCGGAGCGACTGACGATATTTCTTGAAATATCAAATAAAACCTCCTGAACATGGTATAGGTTTCTGGTTCTTGAGAGTACCAATGAAACCTCCTTAAGTAAACAGTCCCCTTTCTTAATTGCTAAAGGTCTCGCCGGTTTATCAGGTGAACCAAAATGTGTTAAGAAAATGAATGTGCTAAAGAACAACACTCTTTATCTTTATTAAAATCGACTTCTTTAACGAACATCCCGATTAAAGTATCACCCCATAACAGTCTAAATTTTTCTAGAGGTGTTATTCGTTCTCAGGATTTAGAAGGTAGCAATGAGGAAGAGATGCTAGAAAATCTCTCCTCGCAAGGTGTAACGGCCGTAAAGCGCATTTCCATCAAGCGTAACGGTAACGTTATACAAACAAATACCTATATCCTGACATTCAACCGACCAGAACTGCCCAAAACGATAAAAGCTGGATTTCTCTTAGTTCAAGTTTCTCCTTACGTACCGAATCCATTGCGGTGCTTTCAGTGCCAACGCTTTGGGCACAGCAAAAATGTATGTAAGGGGAAAACCAATTCAATTTGTGCACGATGTGACCAAGATGGCCACGAATCTGAAACCTGTCAATTGAAACATTACTGTGCAAATTGCAAAGGATCTCATTTTGCTTATTCAAGAGAATTTCCTTTGTGGAAAAAAGAGAAACAGGTGCAACAGAAAAAAATATTTCTTACCCTGAAGCGCGGAAATTGGTTGAGCTTGCCACACTATCGCCAATATTTGCAACTTCCTTTGCAAATAAAGCGAAGCCAAAAACCATTTCCGTTGCTTGTCAGACTGGAGTTGCACCTGCCAGCTTCTAGGCAGACAGGATCATCTTCCCCAAAAACCCCACTACCACAGAAACCATTATTGATTCCTCTCGGCACTCAGACAAGGAAATTATGCCCGAAACTCCTCCCTCATATGGTGGAAAGCCACCCTCATTACCCCCAAAAGGTGGAAATCCACCGAAAACCACTAAAAACCGACCTTCAACTCCGAAGGACGGTTCAAAACCATTATCCTTCCGTAGTAGGAAGGGCGAAGATGATCCTGTCCAAACCTATAACAGGTTCGGGAAACAGGACAATATGATGGATATTGTTTTGGAGATTCGCGACCCCAATCCCAAGCAACAGTCAAGAAGTCCTGTTAAACATCCCTGACGATGGTCAAATACCAGGGATAATATCAGAGGTAATCAAATAGCAGACTTCATTAATAATAATAATTTGTGCTTATTAAATAATGACTCGCTTACTTATCTACATCCAGCAACTGCTTCTTTTTCTTCCCTTGATCTAACCTTTTGCTCTCCGGTCCTGTTTCAGGATTTTACGCGGAGAGTTAGTGAAGATCCGTGTGGCAGTGATCACTTCCCGATCTTAATAGTAGATAACAATGGACCCTCCCCGGTTGGAATGCCGCCGGGGTAGACGTTACATAAGGCTGATTGGGCTATGTTTGAATCTTTGTGTCTTTTCTCTTTTAATACAAAAGAGTTAGAAGATGAAGATGGGCAAATGGCTATATTCACTTCGATTCTTCAAGATGTAGCTGAGCAGGCGATTCCAAAAACCATTACTGAACCAAAACGTTTCAATAAACCATGGTATAATGACGATTGCAAATCAGCTCTTAATACCATTCGGTATTCGTATTCAAACCCTTCTGTCAGATACTGGCATCAGTCATGGCAATATTGCGAATACCCCTTTCTTTAGTACTCCACCTTGGACTATATCGCCTCCAAAGATCGATTTAGTTCCACGGTGTTTCAGTCTCTTTCGAGAGTTAAGGTCTAAATATGGTAATTATGCTCCCATGTACACAGATGGTTCCAAAGATGGTGATCGGGTAGCTTCGGCTACCGTCACGTCACCTGGGATCATTTCTGTTAGACTTCCACCTGCTGCTTCCATATTTACTGCTGAGCTCCACGCCATCTTTCAGGCTTTGGAGTTCATTCAATCCTCTCCATCTTTAAAACATGTTACATTCACTGATTCTTGTCTTCTTTACAGTCAATAAACAATAAACAGCTTGTACACCCATTAGTAGAAGACATTTGTCGTCTGCTACTATCAAACGAGTTTAACGGCAGGGACATAGTCCTTTGCTGGCTCCCCAGTCATGTTGATATTAAAGGGAATGATCAAGCAGACTAAGCTGCCAAGTCTGCTTTAGATCTTCCCATAACAAAATTTCTTTTACCATTCACAATTTTTAAATCACCCATAAACTTTTTTATATATGACCGCTAGCAACGGTCTCGGGATCTTGCATACACGAACAAACTTCAACACATTAAACCTCTCTTAGGAGATTGGCCAAGCTCCTACAGAACTAGCAGGAGAGACGAAGTGTTTTTTGTCTCATGTTAGTTCTATAGGGGTTGGGCCAGTCTCCTAAGACAGAGCCCCCCCTGGGGTGTAGGGGGTGATAATAATATACCCTCCGTGTCGTAAAAAGGCGACTAAAAGGGTCCCTGTAATGGGGCAGTGTGTTTGCCGTGCGTTGCGACCCGTGTCGGTGGTAATTGAGTGGGGATTTGATTTGCAAGACCATGAAATGAAATGAAAAGGGGTTTAACGTCCTACTGTTCTGCTCCTATTCTGGGTTAATGAAGACGGGCATAAGCCATGCAGTGTTCTATGAGGGAAATTTTACCCGGGCCTACCCTTATATCGAATTCCAACTGCCAGAGGATCTTTTACGTGCATTCAAATATATGCACGGGACCTCGGTTTTTCGCTTCATCCGAAGGACTAGACAGCTGTCCTCGTCAGGCCCTCCGTCCTGCATCACTGACAAGGGGGAACCACGCCGGAAAATCTGGATAACTTTCTCGACCAATGCAGGGATCGAACACCCGACCACCAGGCTAGCGAGCCAGCGTCTTACCCACTTAGCCACGTGATTCCCCCGGTTCACCTAGACGGGAGGACAGAGTGGCCCACTCTGATCAATCGGCTTTGGTCGTTTTAGCTCTGTAGAATGTACATTTTTCATTTGCAATGCTTTGTTTTTTTTTAAACTCAGCAAGTTTACTTTTGTGTCCTTAGTACATTCTACAGAGTGACGGCTTGGGTCAATCGGGTTAGATAAGTATTTTTACTGTCTGGCTTGAGTGTACCCCTCGTCGAACCCCGAGGCCATGCACCGGATATCCGTACTAGTACTCCTCCTGGAAGGCAGGGTAATGACCAGGGGGACGACGAGGGGTGAATAAAAAAAAATATTGATGGATTCCCCAATTCCCCAAACCCCAGTCAATAATAAACAGAAACGTCCAAATACAGAGGACGTTTCTAACTTATTTAACAACCCATAGCCGAGGTTTCTCTTAATTGAGAGACCATGCGCCGGATATCCGTACTAGTACTCCCCCTGGAAGGCAGGGTAATGACCAGGGGGACGACGAGGGGTGAATAAAAAAAAATATTGATGGATTCCCCAATTCCCCAAACCCATAGCCGAGGTTTCTCTTAATTGAGAGACCATTCAAAAGTTTCACCATTTTTAATAACCAAGGGCATTGGTGGCTTGGCTGGTGAGTCCAAGGCTTTTAAAACATACAAAAATGGAACTCTCTTGATAGAATGTGC